TTCGAGGAATGAAGGGCATCAACACCCATCATGTAACATTAATGGTTGTATCAGAATTTTGAATCTGCTATAGGAAAGATGTTCTTTGTATTATACGTAGCAGATTAAGAGCTTAGCTGTTTTCAATTATTGACCTCGGGTCGATAAATGTCTCACGCGACTTCAAAAATACACTAACAAAAAAAATACAGAAAAAAATCTAAATCACCTGCATCTGATGCCCGTGTAAATTTAAACATTGGAACTATCATCGAAATGCTTTTCCTGAACGTTATTATGATAGTAGAGGCTCTATTTCTCCTTTATTTGCAAGAGAAATTTGGTGCGTTTTTCTCTTGTAATCTTCACTTGGCAATCCGTGTTCCACACGTGTGACGTAAAATCACGTGACTAACCTGAAATCCGAATGTTTTGAAAATGGCGGCAAAAATCGAGTTTTCGAAAAATTATTAAAAAATAAGTTTCGCAGATATATCCGAAATTTCACCAAAGAGAGACATTACATGCCATTAGGAAACCATAGAGAACTTAAAAAACAGGGGTAATTTTCCCGAGAGTTGCCCTTTAAGCTGACTCGACCCAGTTATTTTGTGAGGGTACCATCCTACTTTGAAGCTCTATGGTATCCCCACCTTTACTTTGATTGTAAGTCCAACATATAGCATGGATAACATATAGATCAATCTATAATACAGCATAAAGTTTTTGGCGATCGGAGTAAATGTCACGTGGTTAAAGTGCCCCGCCTCTTTCGGGTCTGAGTCGAAATTCTGCTGTTGCCGGCATTTTTTCGTGAAAATCTCTCGGCTGCATATAGTGCGCATTAGTGCCTTGCGTTGAACAAAGTTTCACCAAAATCGCAAAGAACCAATTCGAGAAATTCAATGGTTTGCTAATTTAGGTCATAACTTATGTAAAAATGATAAGCAAACTCTAATAAACTATGAGATTTATCTCTTTATTTTGGGGATGTTTATAACAGATGGGTCCTTGCAAGTCAGTAAAAAGCTTTAGGGCCTTCTAAATGCGCGCGATTTCGAGCAATGCAAACATATAGAAATTGTCAGCGTTTAAGAGTCCTTCTCACGAAAAAAGCATTTTATTAAAAATTCGCAGTTTTTTTCCCTTCAAATTTTTTTCAGGGCTGCAATTGATTAACTAACTACCCGGATTCTGAATTTCATGGTCGCATGATGGTACCCCCACAAAATAACTGGGTCGAGTCACCTTAAAAAGGTTAGTTACCACATTGAATGATCTCGAAGGCCTATGACTTTACTGCGTTTCCTTCTCGCATCAGCACAACCTCGTTGTTTTTCATATTTCTATGTATTATTGTGAAGTATTTAATGGCTATTTTTGAGATCGTGCTTGTTCCATTGAGTGGAACAAGGTTATCTCTGTTTTGAACTTATGTTTTTACTCGTACTTCAACTTATGCTTGGCTCGAGAATTAACTTTCCATTCAATACAGTAAAACCCAGCGACTAAGAACCTGGTTTTAAAAAACCTGTTAGGCTATAGCCTAAAAAGAGCATGCGATTTACTGTTTTGAGAAGTACATTTTGTAAAACTTTTTCGCGTTACATTTGTGACAAACAACAGAAGCTTGCAGGGGCGGATCTAGGGGGAGGGTGCAGGGGGTGCGCACCCCCCCCGAGATTACCTGCGGTTTTCTAATACAACTGGTATTCTGCAAAAAAAAAAAACTATGTGGTTTATTGGTGATGAAGTAGAGCAAGAGACGAGTGCACCCCCTCCTAAAAAAAATCCTGGATCCGCCCCTGGCTTGCCACTAGTAGACTATATGCCTATGACAAGTAGATGGGAAATTCAAAATTAAATGTTTCGAACGCCAGTTCACTGTTTTTTAGCGACATTTTAAGCGCTCAAAACGTGGTTCGAGTTATGGAGGGTAAAATTGTATAGAAATGATCAGAGGGATAACAAAAATTACCCAGTCGAGTTAGCGGGAGGTTCGAATTATTGAGGGTTCGGGTTACTGAGGGTGAAATTACAGTAAATATATGAAGGAAATCCAGGGGAAATCGAGTTTGGTTGGAGTTATCAGGAGGCGACTTTTATGAAAATTATGCATGCCAATCACGTGCTCGTTCTGATATGGAATTACTACTCAAAGTAATTTGAAAAATTGTGATTTCTAATATTTTCCTTGGCATATATGTTCTTAGTAAGGATTTGCGTATTTGTCAGCATCTTGTTCACTTGAAGCATAGTGAAAATGAAGAGTAAAGGACTTAAATTTGAATGGACAAGGAACCTTGTTGCAATGTTTGTTGGAATTATTATGATCCAGTTAATTGTTTTAAATGTAAAAGTAACTTCTCTACTTTATTTTATTATACTTCCTCAAAGCCTTGTAGCCTGCTTAATGTTCGTTTCCAAGTCAGTTACTGATATTAATGGTGTTTTACAAATACGAAATCTAATGGCTGTTCTGTTAATTAGGAAAGCCGAGTTTGACGCGACGTTTTCTGGAGTACGTAATGTGGGATGCTTATTGTTAACGTTTTGTGTTTGGTTTTAAGTGATTAATACTTCTTAAACCACTTCTTGAAAGTAATATGTGAGGACGCTAAAGAAGGATATACCTTGTGATCACAGAGCAAGTCAAACTTGTCATGTATATGTTGTGCTTCAATTTTGTCCTTGTTTTATATTTATTATTTGCCTTGATTTTGGGTATGGCAATGAATAGAGAGATTTTTGTATGACCTTGAAAAATGGTTTAGGTAAGTGTTCGTTATTGTTTCATCAGCCAATGGATGAAAAGATCAAAACATGGACTCTTTGTTTTCCCGCCAAAGAAAACCCTAATATGGAGAAGGCATTGTTCGATTAGCCAATCGTGTTGCAGTATGACGACAAAGCGCAGTATCGGTTGATTTCTAGAAAGTTCTCGGGCATGAAGTTTTTTCACCCGACCGTTCGCTTAACCAATTGTATGCAAATATCAAAGTACAGTACAAAACGTATCGTCAGCACCCTTTATTTTAACTCGTGAAAATATGCACAGATGTGTTGAAAATTCCCCTGTATTCTTTTGGAGTACCAAATGTTCATTTAGAGCAATTTTGGAAGCAGACATTCCCTATTAGAAAAGTAATTATCTTTAAAGCGTTCCGGTTATGTTTTTATTTTGAATACGAGAGCTTCAACTTAGTAGAACAGTAAACCTATTCATCTTATTCCAAAAAACTATCGAACACTAGGAAAATTGATTATTTTAAATTCTTTTTTTTAAAATAGAATGTGTGGTCTGCAGACTCTGTAGCTCATCTAGACTACTATATTCGTTGGTCCATATGACCGGCATCTTTTTAATTTGAATAAAAGGTTAAGCGCATTTATTTGGTCCCTTGTCTGTTGTTTCGTTAAACTAATGAAAGTGCACCTTCCTTCAGTGGAACCCTTTTTGTAGTACCACGAGTGGGCCATGGAAATGTGGTGGTATTGACGTGGTCGTCCCAATGAAGGGATAGCTACTTATGTGGTAGTTGGTCGGTCATAATAACTGGGTGTTCTGCGGTCGTAGAAAAAGGAAACGCTGGATTTTTCTTACCCTTGTTTAAAATAACAACCTCGTCCCAAGGGGGCTTTCCCCTAAGCCAGCGAAAAGCGCCCTGGGGACGAGGTTGTCAAAAGAACCATTTGCACCCCAAACACAGTTATGATTAAAAAGGTGAGAGAGTCTGAGTTCTTAGACAAAGAGCATACCCTGTATCCTTGTATCAGTGTTTGCTCATCGCCGAGCGTTAGCCCTTCGCATTGACTGTGACAAAAGGTTAGCATTCGCAAAGTCGGCTATTTAAGGTCACATGGCCAGTTTACGTTATCAGACGTTTTTATTCGCTTCCACAGCAAGGCAATACTATAAGTTTGGATAAAATCTAACCCTTTATGCACTGGTAAAATTAGTCTGTTATCGAATTTAAACCAAATGAAGAGGATTGTCTGGTTATAAGAGGCAAAAGTATCCACAGCCTGTGTCATGGGATGATTTTTTCCCTTTTTGTAAAGCATATTGGATATAAATTGTTATAACAGCAGAATCCAGTCAGTGTGCTTCAAATGCTGACATTCTTTCGTGGGCATGCTAGCTAGGAATTTAAAATTATACTAAAAATGTATCAGGACTGTCAGAGAAAAAAAACATTGTTGAGAGAAAAATGTCTATTTGTATTCTTTCAACTGAAATTAAGTAATAGGGTAAAACAGGGACTTGGTAAACAGCTATCTTTCCCACTCAAAACAACAATAACAACAAACAAACAGAAATTAACAAAATATGGAAACAAAGGCTGGTCAGTTTTTTTCAGCCAATTTTTTTAAAATTAAATGTCAGTGAATTCCTTTCATTGCAAAGGCCTCTCAACTCCAGAAGATTTCATCATATCGCGTTTGTTGTAGTCTCCTCTTTGGATTTTATCAAAAACGCCTGAAAGAAGGACACAAACATAACAGGTGCAGTAACAGTATTGAATAACATGTGTAGGCACGCTTACAACTAACTGAGCCATTACGGTTTGTATACCCTTGAAAACGTCACTAGATGGCGAGCCTTACGATCTAGCATTGTTATAGACATACCAACAGTCATAAAATCTAATTTGTATACGTCAGTCACCTCAAATTCATTTGCTACCATTTTGGAATAAGGACTTTAGAGTAACGGAAAGTAAAACAATAAATGATAGACAGATTAGTAATAAATAAGTCAATAAATGGTACGATGAATTGCAAGAATAAATAAATAAATAAATAAATACACTAAAACTATCTTCGCTTTAATGCATGTAGCCTGAATTTCAGCCGTTCCGGGTCTCGTCGTAAGAGTTTGCGTTTCGAGGAGACAGCTGAAATTCAGGCTATGACGCATGCCGCTTAAATTTATTTCGAACCTTCTAAATGTACGTTTCATTGCACTGTACTTACGTTTGAATTGTGTCCTTCTTCTTGAATCGTACATCTCCGATGCAACAAAGAGCCCCAAACTTCGTTTGGGTGCCTTGATGACACTTGTACGAACAGTGATTTGAGAGAAGCGCAAAAGCCTCCATTTGCTTTCCGCCGCCCTTTGGCTGACTGGCAGTGTGGATAATATCTGTTACCTTCGTGTTATCATCCTCTAGATTCTTTTCGTCAACACTGGTTTTTGCAGCCTCATTTGTTTGCGCCAGAGTGCTTTGTGCTGGCTTTTCCATTTGCTCAGTTTTTAACTGAGTGGTTGTGTGAATGTAATTCCGATCCTGGTGAAGGCTATCATCGGATTCTTCGCCTTCCTTAAGAGATATATCAATAGCTCCACTGTCTTGCACGGCATTGGTAATAGTGGGCATGTCGATGTCTCCAGTTTCTAATTGGTTACTCATTATATTTGCTCCTTGTATGCCACTGACATCCCCGGGCAGACTGAGAAAGGGAAGGATCAGCGCTAGACAGCACGAGAAAGACCACTGTGGATTTTTATACCATTCCTTAAGATAGGCATACAGGTGCAGCATGTATTGAACTGAAAGGAATCCGAACACTTGACCGTCAGAAGATCTCATTAGAATTATGCGATTGAGAAGTAAAATGTCTTAAACTGTAGGTACAAGCGAGATTAAGCACCAGATACTGGTTGCCTCTAGTGTACGCACTATGTGGTCCGTTTTCCTCGAAAGTGGACAATGTTTTTCAATCCCCCATCAGGGATTTACAGGGAAAATTTTCAACACGGTTTGGGGAGTCTGTCTGTGGTGCAGGTTACAATAATGAAGTAATGAGTTATGAATGCCCCCCAATTTGGATGTGAATTTGAGATAGACCGGTACATCCCCTACTCTTAACGAGGAGTCTCAACAGTGTGGGTCTCGTCTCGTCTCACGTCTCACTGAATTTTATATATGGGAACAGGGCTGTGGGAGTCGACATACGGTTTATCGACACAGATGTTCGTAAGAATATTGACTCCACTGAGTAGATTAGTCTGGAATGTCCGTATTAAAGAGCAAGTTGCCTGGATCATTTGTAGGGAAACGTGAGCAGTGTCTCTTACCGAGACAAACTATGAATGTCTGTAATATTGATTATTTGAAGACTTTGAAACTGAGCTTCAACGATTTCTTGTCCTTCGACTTTATTTATACCTACAGGGACGATTAAGTTAATTTGTTCTGTACGAGTTTGTCAAAGGTAATGTAAAGGTAGGCAAACAAAAAAGCCCACACAAATATTAAAATTGAATAATAGCAGTAATAATATTAATGATGATGATAATAATAATAATATTAACAATAATAATAATAATAATAATAATAATAATAATAATTGTAATAAGTAATGGAAATAGAACTGAGTGGATTACAATTCAGGGAGTAATCGGGCGAGACATTTGAAATTACGAGTCCTTACCAATTACTTGAGTCAATAACAAAATGCGAGAATTTCAGTCTTGGAATATTTATTAATGCGAGAGAAAGATTCCAAAGCAAAAACATGATCAGTTACAACTTTGGATCAAATTATAGGAATGTGGAAGCCCGACAGAATGACGAACTTTTCAAAAGAAAAATTACATTTTTGTTTTGTATTTAACAAGCTGTCAAAGTCTGAAGAAAAAATATCTAAATAAAAGTCACTGGACCAGTTAGTTTCATCCATTTTTGTTTTCCATTTGAAGCTGGACAGCTTACCTGGTCACCATTTTCTCACTGATTTTGATTGGTTATCATGTGCTATGTAGTTAAATTTCATTGGCTAATAGCATTTGTTACTTGATTTTCATTGGTTCCTTAACTGTCCGATTATAAGCTCCGTGTAATCGGACAACTCAAATCGGACAGATTTGGAGTTACAATAGCAAAATTAGACTATAAATATGGGCTGTTAAGAACCAATCAGGATTCAAGCATTTTGTTATTGATACAATTATATTATCAATAGTAATGACTTAATAATGATAACAATGATCTTACAATCTGTCTATATTATAATAATAACAATAATAATAATCTTAATTATAATACTCTTACAGGCAATTAATCCGATGACCAAGCTGTTTGCTCCAAGAACTAATATGTTGAAAATGACAGTATCAATGTAAACGTCGGTCGCTGAAGGTACATTCTCGGTAGGAATTTTACTGACAGCTCCAACACCCAAGTTGAAAACTGTAACAGCAATGGATGCGGTCATCAATCGATTTTCAAAGGCGTCTTGTATAGGACGATTCCAGGCAAAGTGCACTCCATATATGCCAGCAATAACCCATGCTAAGCCAATGTATGATCTGCTTTCCTGCCCCACGAGTATCAAACCGGATGTGACGATTACTTTGCGAGAAGTCTCTATTAGTTCCCAGTACCAAGAGCGTGTTGTATAGTTTTCGTAAAGAAATTGCAACCCCTTGATTATTTCAGTGGTAGGGCCTTTATCTTTACATTTTCTGATGTCTTCTTTACTATTTATCATTCTTCGTTTTCTCCAAAGGATTATGAATGTGGCGGTAGGAAGAGCAATAACGTAGGCCAATGAAACGTATGCTCCGACAACTAGTTTATTGAACAAAGGCCCATGGCATTGTATGCTGTAATCGGCTTTCAGGTACTTCGTGCACGAGTCCTCATCTTCGTCTTGACAAATTTCCCGGCATGCAAGGGGCAAAACAGCTGCTGTCTTGGAACACGTGCTAAGGTAGGTGATGTACAGGAAAAAGAACAAATTTTTGTATACGGTTTCTTTAGCTTGTGATATTTTTTTGGACTTTTCGTCGTCGTCCATTCCTGCTTTACTTGAGATAACAGCTTTTCTTACAAGGTAGCATAGGCCCGCACAGATGACAGTGGCAAAATTAACTGCCATCATGGAAAGTAAGTTTGCAAAAGCATCCACGTTTAGGTCCATAAAGATGCAGTTAATTGGAGTCATCTCAAGTATGTTTAGCTGGAGTGTTTCAGAATACTTGCCGATTACCTGTACGGACTCTGGCCATTCAATGTATGAGAATGCTTCTAGTAAACCATAAGTGACCTGATAAAATCCAATTGCGATCTTTATTTTGGACAGAAAAGAGTCTGCCACAGTGTTCCCCTCCCCCTTGTTATCCTTTATTTTGTTTGTCCAAACACAAACTGCTATTATTGTCAAAATAACTAAAACAACTATTAACATCTGTGCGGCTATCCACTTCTTTGTTGGGCATTTCCTGCACTGATGAAATTGCTTAAAGTATCCTTTTGTGCAAACATCACAGAGTGGACCTTTGTAGCCATCCTTACAAACAGAATCCATGCCACCTCTGCAAGACTCTTTTCCTGGGCATTTATATGGAGTTGGTAGGGGATACGCATATTGCACGTCCTCTTTATCAAATGATGGGGAAGATGATAAGAGGTTGGCTATAAAGTGTCCATAGCGATGTTTGCGGACGTTGTTCTTCCATTTCCACCAATAGCCAGATTGCAAAGTAGCATAGCCATCTTGGCATTTTAGTCCCTCTGTACATTTTTGACACTGTTCAAACATATGAGTCCGATAATGTCCCTCTAAGCATTCACATGCACGTAGTCCAGCGTGTGCGTCACTGTTCGTTCCTAGAGTAAGAGACAATTTTAAACAGAATTAATTTTTGAGATATTATGGCCAAGCGTTCTGCACCAAACTCACATGCCATTAACAATTAAACGCGCGAAGATTCGCGAAGTCAAAAATGAGCAGCAAAACGTAAGTTTTTGTCATTGTGAAAACAATTTCTCTCATTTCTGAATAACTTCAGTTTAAAAAGTCCTGCTATTGGCCTGGAGGAATCTTCTGATGAAAGAAGAAATAGTTATTGTGTTGATGAAAGGTGTCCACATGTCTCCCAGCTGCTTGGTTTGTGAAAGCAAGGAAAGTTAATGTAAGCGAATTTCAGGTTAAAAATTAGGCCGTTCTAAACTCCAGTCACGAAAACCTATATTCTTTTTTTCCCGCAAGTCAAAGGATTTTGGCGAGAAAAATCTACATAAAGTTTCTTATCTACCTAAGAGCTACATGTATTGATGAGCAAAACAATGAAAGAAACAGATTTTTCAACTCTTGATTTTTCCTGCCCGTCCCTCCTAACAGGGATAAGGAAAATTGAATAGAAAGATACTGATTATCAAGTGTTCATCTACCAAGCGGACAGGTTTTGCAGTCCTGAACTTCTTTTCCAGGTGCTTTATCTAGGGCAACAAATGAACCGTTTGGACATTTCTTGCAGCTGGTGCTCACATATCCAACGTCATCGGAGTAAAATCCCCCTGAAAGGAAACAAAAAAGGTACATTATATTATGGTTAAAATGGTAAGATGATGTTAAAATCCGGTAGGAACAAAAAAAGTGGCATATGAGCCGAAGGCCATATTTTGAAGTCTTCTGTGATCTATTAACTCAACTGATACTCGACAACCTGGGATCTATTTTTTTTATACAATGAAAAGAAAAAAAGATAAACAGATAAATAATAATAATAATAATAATAATAATAATAATAATGATAAAAACTACAATCTTGCCTCGTACTGCTCGACGACTGTTCAAGGATTTGTGCTAGTCTTAATATTTTCCAAGTCACAAACGCTACGTTTCGTCTCTTTTCTTCCTTACTATCTTCAAATCGCACTCAAATTTTCCCAAAGGCTTTTCAAGGTCTTCACTTGCTCAAAGTAGAATGACCGCGCACAGCGAGCAAGTCTCTCGTAGCGATGACACACGATGTAAACAGTTGTGAAAATTTCTTCTCGTTTAGGCATTTTCATTTCGCCAAGAACTCTTTTTGTCTCGGTTTATTCGTTTTACTTGCTTGTAAGCAGCGCTTTTGCTAAACTTTTTTTGGGGGCATTTACTTTCAAAATCCAAAATAATCTCGAAAATTTTTTTCAAAACTGCTCAGAATGTTGGGCAAAACAATGAAAATAAGTTTGCTGTTACGTCAACCGTGTGTCTGTAATGTCTAATAGATCATGGCCAGACCATTCAAGGCTTGCGCATTCACTTCATTGTATAAAAGAGTGGGTATAGACCATGGAAAATTACTGTCTATAATATAAAGCAAATAAAGAATTAGAAACGCGCAATTACAATGAGCGTGCCACGAATATTTCTGCAATCAATTTAAAATTTTAAGGCTCAGGCCAAACGTCGGACTTTTCATGGAAAGAACTAGGCTCTAATTTCGGTCGACCTAGATAATAAGGGCCTGTTTACTTGGAGATGGGGGACCCCAGGTAGGTGAGGTAACCCGCTTAGGTGGGGTAACCGGCCTGTCAATATAATCTCTCATTTTAATTTGATCACGTTTACATGATAAATGGGGTGACCCGCTATATGTCACCTCACCTATGCGGGGTTCCCCAGCTCCATGTAAACAGGTCCTAATTTAACTAATCGTCTGTTGGGTCAGACGTCGAACTTTGGACCCGTCGAACCAATCAACTGAATCAGACCAAAAAGTAATTTTAGCCAAACGAGGCTAAATATACCTTATAATACGTATTTTTAAGATAGAATCCACCTAATCTCGTACCCAGATCTCCCACGGCCAAGGGATTTTCAGTGTAAAACAGAGTAAGATCTGGGTACGAGATTAGAATCCACCAGGACATTGAGTAATTTTGATTTTCAGTGGACAAAAATCTTGTACCAGAGTAATTTAAAGCATATTGCATTCTTTCTTACATTTTTCAAGGACTAAAAATGTAATAAATTATCTGAAGTAACACCAAAAAAATTTCTCATGGGAGCCCGAGAAAATGAATTTCAAATTTCACAGAATTACATCTTACACATGGAATTTTCAGAATTTTACTTGTGTAATCTCAATTCTTGTGAAAGTTGACATTCATTTTCTCGGAACATTTGCACGATGGCGTCATTTTACTACTAGGACCAGAATCCCTTGCGTTTTAAATAGGTTTAAATAACAAAAGCTCTAATTTGCACAAGAAAGCAAAACCTTGAAGGATTCTGGTTGTAGTAGTAATTGCAAGTGGTCTATTCTATGAAAAATTTTCTTTGGTGTTACTACAGATGATTTATTACATCTTAAGCCCAAATGTAAAAAAGAATGCAATATTCTTTAAATTATTCTGGTACAAGATTTTGTCCACTGAAAATTAAAATTACTCAGTTTCCTGGTGGATTCCGTCTTCATTTATTAGTTTAGTTTCTCGCATGTGAACATAAGCGTTGGTCCCGGAGACGATCAAAGTTTGGTTCGACGTTTGAACAAGGCCTAAGTTACCTGGAGGGCATGATATGCATCCTTCAGCTCCTTGAGAAGTTATATTGGAGAATGTACCACGGGCACATGGTAAAAATGCCTTAGGATAATGATCACCAAGTCTCCATATATCTACAGGCACTTCTTTGAATCCCGAGGCCAAAAGAGCAGTTATCAGTTTTTTCTCATAGGTTGCGGTAGTAGTTCTTAATACAATCTTTTCCGCTTGCGACTCGTGTGGGTTTCTAGACAAGACAAAGTATGATACGAAAGAACGAACGAAAGAAGGAAAGCAATTTAAATAGCTTTAAATAAACGGTTTATATACAAATACATCACATTCGTAGACTGGGCCAGCAAGTGGTTTACATGATAGTTGGGGCGGACCAGCTCTTTTTACTGTTATATTCATGGTAATTACCATTCCTATTTATTACATTTTTTACTAATATTAAAACAACTGTGTTTTAGATTAAAAGGTACTTTACAAAATCAACAGATCGGAGTTGAGTATTAAGTAATATAAGAAACTTCTCATCTCTGTGTCAACATAAGAATTTTCATTTTGTTCACTCTTAGGAATTAATCATAAATTTAAACCCCTAGTTGCACTCAGTCTTCGTAACGCTTGTCTGTTTAATCTCCGACGGTTCAAGGCGCCTCAGATTCTCTGTGTTTATTAATCAGTTTGTAAATCCTTGAATTCTCTGATTTACGAAGCAAATACCATCTCTCCTGGAACAACACTGGCCTTAGACCTTCCAATAGTACGTTTCCTTTTAAGCCAAGTTTACGAAAGCACCGAGATTCTGCAGGATGATCAGGAATCTAATTCGAGTTTCACTTCTAATTAGCGGACTTTGAAAGACCGGGACATATTTGAATATAAATTTAAATATACTAACAGATATATTACGCAACGAAGTGGAGATAGGACGTTGTTGATGGAAATATATTTCAGTGTTCTCAACGTCCTGTTTTCCATCACCCTGAAAAGAGCCAAAACAAACAAGACAAAACAACCTTTTAAAAAAGTAGAGTCCACGTATGAATGAAGGTGAGAGAAAGTCAGATATATTTTTGAATTTGTGTGGGATATTATAAAGCTGTGATCTTGCCAGACGATATATTTTCAGTAAACTAAACCCAAGAATAGCACTCTTTATTTTCGGTCCCCGAGGTCTGGCAGTCGTGACTAGGGGAATGCGACTGTAAAATTAAATAAAAAAATAAAGGATTGCGACGCCCGGAAACGGAGTTGACGAGTTCACAAGTAAATAAATCAACCAAGCGCGGCTTAACAGCGAAGGTAGGCCGAAGAGTAAGGGCATTACCCGAATTAATGCACCTTTACGTTGTTCTAGAACCAGCAGGTCATTATTTTGACCACTGAAGTGGAGAGGTTTCGTGATGATGACGTCCTGTTCTAGTCTTAGTATCAGGCCTTCTCGCGTCTCTCTTCTAGGCTTCCCCCCAGACCCTCCCTCAAAGAAGTGGCTTACACTCAGACTATCATCCTGTTCCACCTCAGTGACCTTCTTTTCCCTTCACTGGAAATATTAACGTACTCAAGACAGTGGAAAAAGGGAAAAGTGCGCTTAAATTCATGTCACGTCGTCTTACAAGGTTGAATTAAGACCATGAAGCCCGCTGAGATGTAGTGATCCAGTCATACTGTTGCCGATGATAGACTCAGGATTCAATGTCTTAAGTTTCGTTCGCAACAAGAATCTGTCAGAAAGAGAAAAAATGGATACTCCTTTTGAATGTAGTTGTGTTTTTAACAACATTTTGACTGTTTTTAATCATTGTTTGGGCCACAATAGGGCAAAATTTATAGCGGAGCTCCGCGCGCGCGTGGGCGGAACCCCATAGCTAAGGAAATCTACCCATTCCAGAAAATTTGGTAATCACGTGACCGACCGCCCGACCGACCGATCGTCCGTCCGCACCACAGGCATACCAATGTTTACTCTCACACTTACTAGCTACTTTGGAAGCCCAGGAGAAAGCTGATGGCACATCAATGTTGTCATCAATTGACAGCTGTCAAAACAGGGTATCCGCTGACCACTATCACCAGACCGTATCGCGGGCTCAGGTGTCGACCCATCAAGGTCGAGTATTTTTTGAAGTTATCCGCTGACAATTTACTCGTTTTGAAATGATCGCAGGCTCACGTTTACTTTAGTTTTAAATGCACAACAAATATGTTGTGTTTATGTCAGTATCACCCCGCACTATTACGATTTTGATTTCAAACTGACCTCAGACGCAAAAATTCAGCCAGTTTTTTTAAAATACAGGCAGGGAAGACCTTTTCTTACCATGGTCACGTGTTGGTCACGCTCCACGTCCAATTGATCGATTGGTTAAAATTTGACAGGTGAGTTCATGCGTAAAATGTATGCAGCATCTTGAAAGTTGTTTACTTTGACAGCTGAAGCTGACAGAGTTTTGAGTCAACTTGTGATGTTTTTAACTGTCTTTTTCCACTGGATGTACAAAATGAAATACAGCTGCTATCAAGAGTGTTCTCTTATTCATGGCTGGTTTGTTTATTGGGTTTTGGTTGAAAAATGCGTCGCTTGTCAAAGCCGATAATCCGATTTCGGATGGCATCGTTTTTGTTTTTCACTTTGCTGGATGCGTACGAGAATTATAAAGGCTCAAGCGATCCTTGCCTTACTTGATAGCTTTCAGGAGCTGCATCTCGAAATATGGTAAGCCTGAGTAATTATTGCATTTAAATTTAATTTCATGAAGTCCAGCTGTGCAGTTTATGAAGCTAGTTTATGCACGTTTGTATTAAGATTTGACTGAGACACTGATCTGACTTCGTATGAGGTTTGATATAAGCTTAAGCTTACAGAACTTTAAAAAGCCTTTAGTCGATATTAATTCACCGTAAATAGAAAGAAAAAACTTTCTGAAGAATATTTAGTTATAATTTTGGCTGTAGAAAGAAAGCTTTGAACGATTTTCTGGTCGTGAGTTCATCTTTGAAAACAGCCAACACCGGGAAACCGGCGGCTTAAAACATAAACTTTAAGCTTACTAGTAAAGACTTGAGGATTCTTAGACACACTTAAATACTCATTTGTTTTCGTGAATGAAAATTGTTGTCTCTGTAAATGTTCTATCGAATTATTTTTCTTTATTGATTTTTGGTAGTCTCAAAAGTGTAGTTTTCATCGCTTTGCCGTTTGTTTTCAGCCGTTCATAAACATTGCTTGCAGGAGTACTCAAAATGCCAAGCGTATCAAACGCTTTTTAAGATTACACATCGTTATAAAACCGTTAATAAAAAATAGACTCAATAAATTATTTATCACAGCGTAACTCTTTTAAAATTTCTTCGCAAATTTGGCGCTTGTCAAAAGTTAGAACCGGCTGGCCGTATCGGTGATTTTGGAAATTTTTTGAACGGTTTCGCTAATTAAAAGTCCACGCGTGCTTCGATGGTCCTGAATATTGAATGAATGCAATTTGTCTCGAAAAATTGTGAAATACTGCATTTTGTACGAGGTCTGTTTGATAAAAACAGCGCCTCATAGTACTCTTTCTCCTCAGATGTGGTGTATAAAAAAATAAAAGATTGGTTTGCACGCACCCAGATTTATTGGCGAGAATTTGTAAACGGTCTGATTTGTTTTCCAAGAATTTGTTTTCCACGCCTTATCTACTGTGATCAAGAGCCATCATTGCTCTTAAATGTGACCGAAGACTATTTTTCGGGTGTACATATAAGGCTATATCAACTCGATACAAAATTTGTTTCACTCCAAAATCACTTAGCTTTTCCCTCAAAAGTCACATGAATGTGCCCCTAAGTTAACTGATTTGTGGAATACAAAATTTATGTTTGATTTAAGTTATAAGTTTATCAATGGGAGCTTCGCTTTTAGCTGTGGCTAAATATATATATTATGAATATTGGTAACAATACAGTCGGTTAGTCCTTTCTCCATCTAGATAGTGTCAGTTTCAAATCTGCATTCCTGAAGGCGTAATGAGTAAAGAATTTTTTACTAAAGCTTCTCATTGTTTGATCAGATTCAAAATCTTTAAATGCATAAAACCTTTATGAAGGCATTTCAGTCAAATTTAAGCGAACTGAGCTAGCTGGCAGACATCTCATAAGTACCTCGCTTGTCAATTCACTGCTAATTGGCAGGCATGCAGAGATGAATCTGAAATAAGATTCATTTTTCAAATAATCGGTTGTTTACCATTTACAAAAAGTTTCCGGAAAATCCTGTTGGAAAATAAATGGAACGCAACTTTTTATGACTTTACAGGGGAAAATTTCCTGGAGCAACGGAACATCTGAAAGGGTAGTCCTGGTTTTCCAATTTCAGGCCTTCGCGCTTAGCGCTATCAACGAAAACAGAAGAAGAAGAAGAAGAATACTTTATTTATCCACGGTTGTCTCATCAGGCATAAAACAGATTTGGCCTACTTTCTTATTTACAAATATAAAATATCGATCTTAACCGATGTTTATCAAGCCCTAGTGGTTTTCCCATATCCAAAGCACCGCACCGGCTATTTTTTTTATCTTTATCGATCTCTATCGATCTTAACCGATGTTTATCAACTGGTTTTCCCATATCGGCTTTTATCTATTACACTATTCGGAAAACCAAGGCGTCGAAAATTACCCTTGCTACTGCTTGTTGTAAATGGCCTAAATTCTGCGTATCACAATTAGGCCAGTATGTACTAAGATAACACAAGATACCCACTGTAGGGTAGAAATAAGCTTACAGTGTCAATGATTGGACGAGAGGAAGCCTAAATGCCATTGGTTCGATTGCTGTTATCGGATTGTCTGACAACATTCTAAAGTACATGCACATATAAGAGAAACACACAAAGTTAGTTCCATGAAAAGCGACAATTTTCTTAGCTATTTATATCAACAAAATAATACATTTAATTGCATTTACTTCTTACTTGTTATAACTTGTCATAATTAGCGCATCTTCTAGTAACATGCCGACCGATTCGTTGTTTTGCTAGACTTAAGGAAAGGTGTCCGTTACCGCAGCATTAAAAATACTTTGGGTACCTATGGAAACGCTGAACTCCTGAAAGATAGATTCATCCAATCCAAACGATGGACAAGAAAGTATTTATCTCGCTTTAGCCGTTTTAGTTGCTACACTATGACTGACGGTTTGCTGTTCCGTGCAGAAACCTACCTGAGAAGCCTGTGTGTTCACGGCTGCAAATATTATTTTTCATTTGAAACGGATATATTTTCAGCCTAGTCAAAAATAAGGTAGCCTTTTTGAACGGAAAAAAATTGGTCTCAAATCATCTTAAAGTCTCTCTGGACCCCTCCGGAACGACTGTTTATTAGATTAAGCTGGACAACTGACAACACAAATTATCTGGAAAAGGGGTGGTCGTCATATGACATAATAATTTAAATATTTAACTGTTTTAGAAGGAAAAAGTGTCACAAAAGGAAGGATCAAGAACTGCTACGCCATTCGTCATCACGAGGGTAGAAAAACGCCGTTTTACAAACGTTTTCACTCAGTAAAACATTCACGACGGCTTCAAATTCTACTCACAAATTCAACTCTTACTAGCAAAATGTAATACTCGCACTATAAATAAGCTACTCACATTACGTTCACGTCAAATTTATAAAGAAAGGTGGCCCCACTCGGAATCACACTCAAACTATTGGCGGTCAAGAATCTGAAATGATGATAAGAAATAACCACAATTTTTTTTATTGGATGCTTTTAAGCATCCAAGGCGGCTGGTAACGTAACATTTACTATACGATGGTTATAGCCAAGAGTTTAAGCCAGGTTAAAACCTTTCCAACAATGTCGACTTCTTAGTTCAGGGGCCTTGTCCTTTTATTTTCTTTTGGCGATACTAAATGGCTTTTTTGCATTATTACGTCAGACGAGTCAATTTCACCAAATTTCAAGCCTTGTTTGTAAGCAAAAATTCTTTGCATATGCACTCTTTGTGTATGGGTAACTTGGCAACATTACAACTTTTATAGGCGGCATCCTCAGTCACAAATCCTGATTTTTTTGAACCGTTTATTTTTGTTATACCAATCGGTTTTTCGTCCACACGAAACCAGTGAATCCACTCACCGAAGCTGCATCTTTCTAGCGTGGATTTGTTTTTGGATCCGACGGATTTGGTGAATTTATTTGGACGACTGAAGACCGGAAATTTTTGAATTCAACAACGTCCTAAATTGGCCTCTAAGCTCAAATGAAAAATGACAGCATTGCCATCTGCTTACTTGCATCTTTTAGATACTGCTCGTCTGACGCTAGACTTTCTACATGTCGACCTCTGATAAGTTCTTAAAAGTGAGCGAAGCGAGCTTTAATGCATGATGTCGCGCAGAGACCGAGCGAGCGACAAAATCTAGGGGTCGACTTGTTTCGCCTGAATGGATTTGAACTGTATTGTAAATTCACCCAGTGAAAAAGAATGCATATTATGCTGCGTCGAGAGCGGCTTGAAATATCCCTCACTGTCCTATTGGTCAATTGTCATGACGTCACCAGTAGAATCTTCGCGCCAACAGGTATGCCAAAGGTCCTTTAAAATGGCATAACCAACCACGAAAAAAAATAAAGTCTAGTCTGACGCAAGCATGCATGAGGTTTAGTGATGACATGCACGCTACACTCCCTCGACATGTACCAATAAAAAATGCGTTGTTGATGAATAAAACCACTATGTGTGCAAAAAAAATATTAAGAAGGTCTTTGCAAAATTGATTTGTTCTAAACGATTAAATTGCTTATACTTACAGATAATTTAGGCCATAATTCCTGGAAAAGGTCAGGTTTGATATCCTCGATACATTGTTGTTTTGCAAATATCTATATTAAATAAACAGAGCTAAATTTTATTACAATGAAATTATTGGCGTTGTAGTTGAGGGTGAATGAATGAATGCCTCGGTAAAGGCGTGAACATAGCCTATGCTCACGTCTTCTGAAGAGGTCAACCGGTAATAAAGTTCACAACTAAAAAGATAATTTTACTGACTGACTAAAACAGAAAACATATGGCGCTGGGATGGTTCGCCTTGGATCTTCCTTTCTCCATGTAAACAGCCCCTAATAAAAGGAGATCCATATATCTGTCTGTCTGTCTGTCTGTCTATCCCTCTGTTGGCTGTTTATCTATCTAAGCTTATTGTTTGCTAGATTTTCACTTACAAGTACGCCAAGTAAGTCATTTTTGAAAACGCGCCATCTTGCAATTGGTTTATTTGATTCGATGACAAGTCACTGTGAAAAGTAAACGACTCAGTTTAGTTGAAGAAGTTTTGAGCTTGACTCCGTCCTTGTTATATCTGGTTCCTTTGTGTTAAAAGTTCTATGAGCTTATAACATCATCAGAAAAAGTGGACGCGACCCTCACTGTTCGTGCTATAACATTAGGAAGGACAAAGGAGCACGATGTCAAGAATTATGCAGATCGAGGAGAATGTTACTCAACAAGGCCATATGCAGAGATGGATAACAGCCTTTGAGATCAGCATAATTATTCACAACATACGAAAGCCGAATTCAATTGTTTTTAATTGATATTCATTCAAACATTTCTAAGTTCTAAACAAGATTATCACCTCGTAGTCTTTCTTCAAATCTTTAGCCTATTTCTCGGCATAGTTTCAGGATACAAAAAGATGTTTTTTTTTTCTTGTAAATACTCCTCAAAGAGTAGATAGTATCCATCGAGTGATATGTTTTGCGTTTTCCTGCATTTCTTCCGTGCAGAAATTAGCTTTTTTTGTGTATGTACAAATCGAAATTGATCATTTTTGTAGTTAGCCTACTTTCCTCGTCGTTTGATAGTCAGGTCTGGTAAAATTAAAGTCTTTTTTACTCACATCTTCTCCCAAGTGTTTGATTCTATCATTGCTTTCAAATTAAATGTCATTTGAGGTTTTACATGTCTCCGACACATACTCCGTCACGATACGGTTGAAAAAAGAACCAATAAACAAATCAGTGCGAAAGGAATAGAAAGGACGCAATAAAAGATTAGCAAAGCTTCTAGTACGACCTGTGCAAAGTTGGGCGACGTAAATACTAGTGGGGACGTTATATGAGCCGTTCATGCATTGGACTGAAAAAGAAGATGAAGTCGCGACATTCAAACCAGTAAGATAATCGCAAAAGATTTAAGTATGTAAGGCTAGACCTATACACCTGTGACTATGATCAGCATCGGAACTGCAGTTAAGGATAAATCTTGCTGCGCGTCGCTGAACACTTTCGATAATTTTAGGATCAGAGATGCCGGATTGAGGAGCTCAGAATTCACTAGCATAACCTAGATGAGTGCGCACAAAAGTCAAATACAGCAATCTCTTGCGATCAGGCCCTAAACCAGGAGAAGCACAATGTCTCCGAAGGAACCCACGTATTCTATAGGCTTTGGCTACAGCTATGGAGACATGCAAACTCCAAGTGAGATTGCTACTCAATGTGACCCCAAGATCTTTCTCCAAGTCCATCACAGTACGTGAATTGCCACAAATAGTGTAGGGTCTGTCAATAAGAGATGGGATGGTAATAGATCGTTTCTAGACAATCTTAAAACTTTACATTTTGGGGGCTAGTTTAGACTTAAGGGTTGGGGCGACTTTTAGGTAGAGAGCAGACTTGAAACCAGCAGTATTCTCACTACTGTATTTGGTAATGGCGTGTTGACTTACAGTTCCCTTAGTTTCTTTAAGTTT